CGAACTCACAGAAATCTATGCCTGCCTCTGCCTCTGCCTCCTAAGTGCTATGATTAAAGGTGTGTGCCACCGCCACCTGGCTTGAACTATCATTTTAAAAATAACACCCGTTCTGATTTTAGCCATTACCAGGGAACATTCCAGGTATACACACCTGCAGAAAACCATCTTTTTTTGGTCCCTCCTTTTACTGAAATTAAGGGGCTGCTATATTTGCTTCGGTCTTTGAGGTCCCTTGTACAGGGTGTCACACCACCTGGAGGACCCTGAGCATAGTAGCCAGGCCCACCCTAGAGCTCTGCCTTCCGTGCTGACTCTCAGGCTCTCAGATGTAGTCACCGTGGACCCCCTTTTCCTGGAGAAGCCAAGCTCCTTTCTGTTGCTGGGTCTTTGCACCTGCCCTGTGTTTGCCAGGATGCTCTCCCAGGCCTTCCTGCTACCTTTCCCTCGGCTCAGGGAGCCCGCCCTGGCTGCAGCCTAGCCAGTTCCTTGGTCATATGTCCTGTCACCCACTTTCCTGTTTCGTCAACTTCCAGAGTACACGACTCTTTCAATACTGTCTGTCCTTGCCACCTGTCCCCCAAGGGCAGGAACCATGCCTCACCCACAGCACTTGGCCTGGGCTTCTGAGGGCACCCAGTTTACCCTTACCCCCTTACCAGCCCACTTGACTGGAGGAATGGCAGTCAAGCCCTCAACATTCCTACTCCTTAAGGATAAGGGATTTCTGGAGTTTCTAATTCACGTTTCTGTGGGAGATGCGTTAACTGTGGGGCCTCTGTTGACACATGCCAGCTGGTTAAGGCAGGAGCAGGTGTTGTCACAACTGTACCAGGGGGGATCCCCTCACATTTACACACACTCTCTCCTCCAGACACACCCAGAATCTACCAATGTGTTCCATAAGTTTTCAAAAAGAGCTGAGACTCGGGGAGAAGACATATTGTACCTTCCCTCTAGGAAGGAAGGAAGAGGTTTAGGGTTAGAGGCCAGACAGGTCTGGGTTCCTCTTCCTGTTGCTGTGGATAAAATACCCTGACAGAAGCAGTTTAAGGGAGAAAAGATTTATTTTGGTTCACAGTTCAAGAGGAAGTTCACCATGGCAGTGCTGGCGTAAAGGTAGGAGCTTGAGGTGGCTGGTCACATGTGTCCACAGCCAGGAAGCAGACAAGGAGGAATATGTGCGCTCAGCTCACAGCCTAGGGGGTGACGCCACCCACAGTGGGTGGGCCTTCCCACCTCATTAACTTAATCACGATAATTTCGCACAGGCATTCCCAGAGTCTAACCTAATCAAGACAATCCCTCACAGGCCTGCCTGGAGGCTTACCTTATTGATCCCAGATCCTGTCAAGTTGGCAACCAGCGCTATCCATTACATCAGAACACTGTCAAATCTCACCCTGGCATTGTTGTATCGAACTAGGACACATGGTCTCTTAGGTTTGGGACAAACCTTAGGTTTGGCTTCTTTTCTTGTCATACAGTGTAAAACAGTGATTCAGAATTCAGTTGTATGACTAGGGGCTGGGGCTGTAGATAAGTTGGTAGACTGATTTCTTAGCATGGTTCCTGAGCATGACATAAACCAGGCGTGGTGATGCATGCCTATACTCCCAACTTCTGGAAGGTGGAGACAGGAGGATGAGGGATTACAGGTCATCCTGAGCTACATATCAAGTTTAAGGCCAGCCTGAGCTACAAGAGTCCCTGTCTCAAAAAAAAAATCACATGCCAGGAGGCTTGTGGCAAACAGCTTTAACCCCAGAACTCAGGAGGCAGAGGCAGGCTGATCTCTGAGTTTGACTGAGGCCAGCCTGGTCTACAGAGTGAGTTCCAGGCCAGCCAGGGCGATACAGAAAAACCCTGTATCAAAAAACAAAATATAAGAAATTACCACAAAAGATAAATAAGGCCAGGAATGGCGGTGAACACCTTTAATCCCAGCTCCCAGGAGGCAGAAGCAGGTGTATTTCTGTAAATGTCAGACCTGCCAGTGCTACATAGTGAGACTCTATCTAAATAAATAAATAAATACAAATAATTGAATTACTACTTGGTCACTACTCAACACAGTTTACCTGAATCTCAGGGTCCTTATCTTTTTTTAAATTAAGATTTTTACTTATTTTTATGTGGATTTGTATTTTGCCTGCATGTATGTTGGTGTGAAGGTGCCAGATTCATTGGAACTGGAGTTATAGACAGTTGTGAGCTGCCATGTGGGTACTGGGAATCGAACCCAGGTCCTCTGGAAAAACAGCCAGTGCTCTTAACTGCTGAGCTATTTCTCCTGCCCCCTTGCCTAGGTAAAATAATCACAATTTCTGAGTGATATGTGGAAAGGGTCCCAAATCACAGGGCTGTTCACATTGATAGGGTATTCACTGACTTCACTCCTACATCTCCTGGACTCTGTGATTGTTTTTACTTATTGCTATCATGTATGAAGAGTGCTGGCACTTGTCACTGTGTGGTTAGAGAACAGCTCTGCTGAGGCATTTCTCTCGTTGTCCCCTTATGTGGGCTCCAGGTATCCACCTCAGGTGATCAGGCTTGCTGTGAAATGCCTCTACCTACTGAGCCATGTTTTGTTTTTTTGAGATGGGGTATTACCATGTAGTTCAAACTGGCCAAAATTCCTGATTCCTCTTCCTTTTTTTTTTAAGATAGGGTTTCTCTGTGTAGCCCTAGTTGTCCTGGAACTCGCTATGTAGACCAGGTTGACCTCAAACTCACAAAGATTCTCCTGCCTCTGCCTCCCAAGGGCTGGGTTTAAAGTTGTGGCTGCCAGGTGCCTCATTCCTCCAAACTTCCGGGATTACAGGTGTTTGCCACCATGTCTAGCTCTCCTTTATGGTTAAAAAATTAATTTATTGTCAGGTAGTAGTGGTGCACACCTTTAAACCTAGAACTGGGGAGGCAGAGGCAGGTGGATCTCTGTGAGTTTGAGGCCAACCTGGTCTACAGAGGGAGTTTAAGGACAGCCAAGGCTACACAGAGAAACCCTGTCTTGAAAAACCAAAAAAATTATTATTATTGTGTATATGCATGATGTGTGTGATTGTGTATGCAAACGTGCTATGGCACTCGTGTGGAAGTCAGACAATTTAGGGAGTTGGTTCCAGAGAACTGTTGTAAATTTTATTATATTTACTTAGTGTGTGGTACCAAGGGCTACTGTGTGTGTGTGTGTGTGTGTGTGTGTGTGTGTGTAGGTCAGAGAACAACTTGTGGGAGTCTCTTTTCTCTTTGCACCAAGTGATTCTGGGGATCAAACTTAGGTTGTTAGACCAGATGACAAGTGCCTTTACACACTGAGCCATCTCAATGGCCCTTCCTTTGAAACTGGGTCTATGTAGCTCCAGCTGTGCTGGAGCTGACTATGTAGACTAGGATGTACTGGAACTCACGGAGGTTTGCCTGCCTATACCCCCCAAGTGCTAGGATTAAGGGCCTGTGTCATTATGCCTGGTTTTATGATATTTATTATTATTATTATCATTATTATTATTTTGGTTTTTCAAACAGGGGTTCTCTGTGTAGACCTGACTGTCCTGGAGCTTGCTCTATAGACCAGGCTGGCCTCAAATTCAGAGATTCTCCTGTCTCTGTCTCCCAAGTGCTGGGTTTAAAGGTGTGTGCCACCACAGCAGGCTCCTTTGTGGTTTTTCTTTTTCAGAAGAATCCTTAGATTTACTTGTGTGTGTATTTTATGTATATGGGTGTTTCGTATGCATGCTAGCACACCGGAAGAGTGCATTAGATTCCATCAGACTACTGTCAAAGACAATTGTTCCTATCATGTGGTTGCTGGGAATCAAACCTAGGTCCTCTGGAAGAACAGCCAGTGCTCTTAATCACTGAGACATCTCTCCAGCCCCATCCTTTGTGGCTTTTTAAATCAACTGAACTTGTTAGTTTCTCTTTGATGTCCTTTGCATCTTATTCTATTCTTCACTGTCAGGAATCAACCCCGAGGCCCTGCATTAACAAGGAAGTGTTCTACACTGAGATACAGCTCCCACTCTTTTCCTGTATTTCAAAAGCAATCTTTCCTGGGTGGTGGCGAACACCTTTAATCACAACACTTGGGAGGCAGAGGCAGGCAGATTTCTGTGAGTTCCAAGCCAGCCTGGTCTACACAGTGAGTTCAGGGCAGCCAGGATTGTTACACAGAGAAACACCACCACCAACAATAAAGCAGCTTCTTCATTAACAACGATAGCACAGTGAAAACCTCTGTGTGACCATTTGAGTAATGTAGGAAGGAGATGCTAAGTCCAGTGCTGATTCTATAGCATTTTCTAATTTTATTTGGATCTTGGAAACTACTGGGTTTGTACCAGCCATGTCTTGTGCAAAAGTGCAGGCTCAATGTACAGAGTATCAGTTTGCACATACTAATAGGAAACAATATTTATTAGTGAATGATAGATTGGCACAGCAGAAAGCGCCTCAGGTGTTTGTGTTTGCTCCTGAAAACGAAGATCGGAAACGATGCTCAATTATTGCACAAATTTAGAAAAATGATGCCTGAAAGGAACGTGGCACAGAGCTTAGCGCTCTGTCAATAGACACAGGGATAGTTTCTATGTACGGTGAGCCTATGTTGTGGCCGGGAATGGTTACAGCTAATAAGAATCTGTCTTTGGAGTTCTTTCTGTTGGCAGGGGAAAATGGAAGGCTCTCAGAAAGCAGAAAGAGCATTACAGCCTGGCTTTCGGGAGATTCCGGTGGTCTGGGTTGCCAGTATAGAGCTGACTGAGGAGACTTTAGGACCCTGAGCCCCGGGCGCGCGCGTAAGGCGCAGGGGAGGACGCGCCCGGAGCCCATCCGCATCCAGGAGGGCGGGGCGTCTCGCCCAGGTCGTGTTACTATTGGTGAAAGCGGGCGGGTGACGATGACGGCTGGCGCGAGGCCCCGCCCCCGCCGCCCCGCCCCTCCCGCGCGCGCTGGCCGCTAGGCAGCCTCGCTCTGGCCCGAGTCGCGCCCCCGCGCCGAGTCCGCGCGCGCGTCAGTCGGTCCCGAGTGCGGCTGCGGGGCGACCGGCTGCAGACAGCGGGGCGCGCGGCCCGGGGGAGGTGTCGGTATCGGTGTCGCGGGAGGAGCGTCGGAGCCCGGAGACTCGCACAACGCCATGGCCCCCATTGGCCTGAAGGCGGTGGTCGGAGAGAGTAAGTGGCTTCGGGGTGCTGCCCGGGGGCCAGTCCCTGGCCTCTGGCCGGTGGGACCCGTTATCCAGGCGCCGCCCTCCCGGGAGGGAAGCCCCTCTGGCTCCCTGAGGCCAGCGGGCTTCCCTGACTCTGGCTTCTCCCCGGTCCCTCTTCACCTCGGTCCTCCTCAGTCTCTATCCCTCCTTTTCATCCCATCCGTCCTCCTCCTCGCACCTCGCCTTCATAAACATCCCGTTCCCCCTTTTATCTCCATCACGCCATCTCTCCTTCACCCCATCCCGTCTCCTCTCCCTCTTCACCCCAGACCACGCACGTATCTCCCTCCCCCATCCGCGCCTTTATTCCCCCTCCAGCCCGTTAGCCTCCTCTGCAGCGTCACCCTCTGCACCCCAACTCTTCCCCACTCACATCCCTTTCCTCCCGTCTCCCTTCTTTGCCTTCTGCTTTTCTAGAGCTCCCGATTCCACTCCTTTTTTTTTTTTTTTCGGTCTCCAATCCCTCCCTCTTTCCCACCCTCCCTCGTGAATCGTGACGAACGAAGGCCTCCTCCCTTCCCGCCTCCCTCTCCCAGGAGCAGGGCGCTGTCCCCGGCTGCAGAGACCCACCTGGGAGCGGCGGGGCGCGCGCCGCCAGGGCTCCTCCTGCCAGCCGGGGAGGGAACGCGGGGGTTTGCCTGCGGCGCTGCCGTCTCCGCGTCCGGCTGGGGCCGCGGGCTTCTCTCCGTCTCCCTTTCCCGGGGCTGGACTTCAAGGGCGGGGTCTTAACGGGGTCCGGAACCCTTCGAAATCCCTAGGGGGGAAGGGGTGCGCTTCGGAGTGTCGCGGGAGGAGTGGCCCCGCCAGCGCCGCAGTCTGCAGTCTCGCTGCTTGCGGGACTCAGCCCCGGGTGTCGCTGCGGGGGAAAATATGATTGTTGATGGGTTTGCATGAAAGACACAGCAGACATTTTAATTTTTTAAATTTATTTTTATATCGAATGGTGAGCGTGGACGACCTAGGTAGAAAAATAGCACCTCTTCAATATTTTGGCACGTCTTTATAGTGAAAACGTGTGAGGATTGCTGTGGCTTTCGCTACCTGTTTTTAGAGTAAGAGAAAATGAAAGTGTCATTTCCCTGAAGGAGAGGTGGAATTTTACAGTTTCCTTTTTCAATGAGCCTCTCCTATGATAGCTTGCTCTTGCCTTCCCCCACAACCCCCCCCCATCAAATGCAGCATAACTGTTGAGCGATGCAACTGCCCTCCCCTTATTCTTTTGAGTGGTGTATGGGGAATACTCTTTTGGTGGAATCTAGCCGTGTACAGCATTTCCTGATCAGAAGGAATTGTTACGAAAACAAAACCTAAAATGGACATTTAAAAAATGCTCAGGACCATCCATGCTATAAAGGCTCCTTGAACTGTTTCTGAGGAAACTCAGTGTTTAAGGCTGGGGGATCCATAGGGATTTGTTAATGTCAACACCTTCATTTTCACCCATAGGAAAGAAATAGAGGCTTGGAGCAGTTAAATGGCTTGCTGAAATCACTGTTAATTTAAAAACAATAACAACACCTGGTGTCCATTTCCTTGCAACTTAAGTAAAAAAAAATAATTCCCTTGCTTTCTGTATACATATTTTCCTCTTAAAAACCTCTTTTGAAGATTAAGAGGTGTGGGGTGGAGTATCATACTTCACTCCTTCAAGTGTTACATTTGAATACTACATTTGAAAAATAAAATACATATATAATGGAATGCCCCCCTACGAGGAGCCACTGTAGTCCTGAAGTGGTCCAGAAGACACTATGTAACCTAGACTGGTTTTAAATTTATCTTAATCCTCCTGCCTCAGCCTCACAAATGCTGGATTATAGGTGTGTGTCACCCCGTCCTACTTATTTTTTGTTTATTTGAGATAAGGGTTTACTTTATAACCCTGGATAGCCTGGTACTTCCTACCCAGTGCAAGCTGGCTTTGAACTCATGGTAATCCTCCTGCTTCAGCCTACCAAAATGCTATGGTTGCAGGCTTGCACCGCCATACTGAGCTCAGAAGAGGGTTTTTGCATCTTTTTGCCAAGACCCTTGATTATGTGGGTGTCACCATAACCCCTTGCCTTGCCTCTTTTAGAAGTAAGCATCAAGATTAAAAAAAAATCAGTGTGCAATATGGCCAAAATTTCTTTTGAAACAAAGTGAAACCTTGGTGTACAAAAATAAACCCAATTTTACAGAAAAATGTGAATGTGTGAACAGGCTTCTATTTCTGTGACAATTGAGTTAGGCATGTGCTTTAGGAAAATACATCTTGAACCCTATTTTAATGCTGCTTCCCAATGTTTGGTGGGGTTTCGACTTCAACTTTTCTTCCAAAAATAAGAGTGAAATAAAGGTACTTTCTTTTTTCTTTCCTATCTTGAGGACAGAGTCTGATGTAGCCCAGGTGAGCCTGGGGCTGACTGACGGTGAGTGAAACCCTGAAGTGCTGATCCTCTAGCTTCTATTTCTGGCGTGTGCTGCCGCGGTCTCCTGTTAATCTGTGCTGGGGTTGAGCCTCTCGGCCTTTACCCACTAAACTACATCTACACCTAAAGCTGGGTTTGTTTTGTTTTGTTTTTTGTTTTTGAGACAGGGTTTCTCTGTGTAGCTCTGGCTGTCCTCAAACTCTCTCTGTAGACCAGGATAGCCTCGAACTCAGAGATCCGCCTGCCTCTGTCTCCCTGAGATTAAAGGCGTGCGCCACCACCACCCAGCTCTAAAGCTGCTTTTTAAAAACCACTACACACACCAGTTAAAATGTCACTTCATAGCCCGGTCCTCTTGATCTAAATTAACATCCCATAATCATTTTTCTTAGGGTTGCTAGTTCTTTGACGAAGCACCATGACCAAATCAACTTGGAGAGGAAAGGGTTTATTTGGCTTACACTTCCACATCATCACTGAAGGAAGTCAGGGCAAAGCAGGAAACTGGAGGCAGGAGATGATGCAGAGGCCACAGAGGATGCTGCTTACTCCCCGTGGCTTGCTCAACCTGATTTCTCATAGAGCACAGGACCACTAGCCCAGGGGTGGTCCACCCACAGTGGCCTGGGCCCTCCTACTTCAATCGGTAATTAAGAAAATGCCCTGCCAGCTTGCCTGTAGCTCCATCTTATAGAGGTATTTTCTTAATTGAGACCCCCTCCTCTCTGATGGCTCCAGTTTCTGTCCAGTTGACAGAGGACTAGCCAGCACAGTCACTGTCAGTTTTTTTTGTGTGTGTGTGTGTGTGATAATTAAAAATTATCTTGCTTGGTTTTTGTCTGGTTGGTTGGGGGACACCCACATTTGCTGAATGAACAATGTCATTTAGGACGTGAATGAGAGTAGTTTTGAGCCCCTTGCCTTCCCCTATAACCTGCCCCAATCTAAGCCAGAGCCTGTGCATGTGCAGTACCAGCCCCAGTGCCCTGTCGGTCCTTTCAGAGTTGAGTGTCGTTGAATAGCCCACAGCCATCCGTATAAGACAAGTAAGTATGGATTGATTCGGCAGCTTATTCTACAGACAGTGTTTAGAGCTTGCTAGGAACTATGGGAGTTTCAAAGCTGTCTTTCTGGGACTGGGGAGATGGGCTCACTTGGTAAAATGCCTGCTGTGCAAGCTGGCGATCTGAGTAGTTTGAGCACCCAGGTGAAAATGCCAGGTGTGGTCACCTTAGCTCTAGGAGGGAGTAGGTGGAGGAGACAGATGGATCCCTGGATCGCACTGGCCAACAAAACTGTTCCGCAGGGTAAGGTGGCTAGAGATAGCAGGAGACACCTCTGACTTCCATTGGTTTGCACAAATGTACTTTTATGTACAGGTGTATACACACATACATACATACATACATACATACATACATACATATATATATTTTTTAAAAACTGGCCATCTCAGCACTAAGGAGGCAGAGGCAGGAGGATTGCAGCAATCCTAAACTGCATGAAAAGTTTGAGTCCAGCTAGGGCCATGTAAGACCCTATCTCAACTGACCTGTCCTCCCTAAAAGTGACTTCCTTCGTATAGCATATAGCATTTGCTGTTGTGTTTGCTATTTGTTCCTTTTCTTTATTATTATTGTTGTTATTATTTTGGTTTTTCGAGACAGGGTTTCTCTGTGGCTTTGGAGGCTGTCCTGGAACTAGCTCTTGTAGACCAGGCTGGTCTCGAACTCAGAGAGATCCGCCTGCCTCTGCCTCCCAAGTACTGGGATTAAAGGCGTGCGCCACCAACGCCCAGTAGCTCTTTGTTCCTTTTATCCCTGACTATTGTTCTGTCATGGATGTCCTCCATCCTCCAGATCATGAACCTTTGAGTTGTTTCCAATTACAGGCAATTACAAGTAAAGGTTTAAAAGTTGCACTTATTTATTTTGTGCATATGTGTGCATGTGCCCATGCATACCATGGCAAATGTGGAAGTCTGGAGTTGGCTCACTTCCTCCACCATGTGGGGCCTTGTAACTTAGGGTCATCAGACTTCATGGCGAGCACCTTTACCACAGCTTTCCTCCGGCATGTACCCACAGATTTTTTTTTTTTTTTTGGTTTTTCGAGACAGGGTTTCTCTGTATTGTTTTGGAGGCTATCGGTCCAGCCCAGCCTCGAACACACATAGATCCGCCTGCCTCTGCCTCCCGAGTGCTGGGATTAAAGGCGTGCGCCACCACCGCCCGGTGTACCCACAGATTTTTATGTGAATGTATCATATGGCTATCTGATTACCTATGGGTTAGGACTAATGGATTGTAGGGTAAGCACATGCTTAACTTTGTAAGAAACTGTCATGCAGAATTCTGAAATGGCGGTAACATATTGTTATTCCAACCTGTAATGCTCAAAATTTTTCCTTGCCAGGCGTGGTGGTTGCACGCCTTTACTGTGAGCACTTGGGAGTTTGAGGCCAACCTGACCTATGTAACAATTTCCAGGCCAACCTGGGCTACATAGTGAGACTCTTGTCTTCTTGTGAGCTGTTGTTTTGAGCTGGCTGCCT